CACACACACACACACACACACACACACACACACACACACACACACCACCGACAGAGCGATGTGCTCATAGTTTATCACCACCAGGGAGGGCTGTTGCGGATCATATTCTGCAGCAGCTGAATGCGCTTGCGTAGGACCGATCCTCCCTGTCGTCGTCTGCCCACAGAGAAGGAATACATACTGAGGAAGCCCAAGAAAGATGCTCCATGCCGTTTTGTGATGACCCACTGGAGATTCAACTAGCATGTGGTTCACGCATTTCAGGCCCTGGGGCCTGACCGGCCAGTCCTCAGTCGTCAAACCGGGCGTGGCATCGGGACCCGGGCGCCCGGGATTTCGCCCTAGCTATATATCATAATATATATTGTGTCAATCATATATCATATTAATATCATTAATAGTTATCATGTATAGTTCTATATATCATATGTTGAAGTTGTAACAAGGTAGTAGTAGGGGAACCTGCCGCTGGATTGACTCCTTTCCAATATGCATGCCCAGATTTATTTAATTTCGATCTTATCAAAGTTGTCAAACTACTTACCAAAGGCGCGAAGCACAATTACGAGTATCTGGGTACTATTGTAGGACGTGAACAGCAGGTGGATCATCCCCGTGTTGGATAGGTGTGGAATGCAAAATCTGAGGTGAACTGACAAGAGAAGATTTGGATGCATAATGGACAGTTTCTTTTTCTTTCTGTTTTTTGTTTTTATTCCTTTTTTAATTCGTTTTCCCTGGGCTTGCAGCAAATGGCTATTATGATGTGGGAAGGACGAGTATCGGCTGCAGAACAGAAGCTCAGAGAATACAAGCAGCAAGTGGCAAGGAACTCGAAGGTGAGACCAATTTTCTCATACTGTCATCGGACTTTCACGATCACATGGGGAAACAAGTTTCAGAGAATGTTACACGATCTGCACGTCTCCCCTGACAAAGGGAGAAATTCAAACGAGTTCCAGGGAATGTTATACGATCTGCATCTCTTCCCTGACAAAGGGAGAAATTCATCTCCTCTTTCCTTCTTGAACACGGGGAAAAAAGAATAGGATGTCTTGATCAGTTGGTCAGGTAGTGGAGAGGGGGAATGAGGTTGAGGGAGAGATTCCCCTGCTTCAATTGTCAATCTCTTACTTGCTCTCTCTTTAAGCGAATAGCGGGTCTCACATGACATTCCCACTCGAAACAGCTGCCAGTCTTGGGAAAGCAGTAGGGACACGGGGGGTGGGCTCAGCAGGAACGTTCGTCGGAGTGGCTGTGGCATGTGCTAAGCTCCCGCTGCATGTTCGAGTTTCGTGGCCTGTTTTTTGCTTTTGTCTTCTTTCGAGGTCACGTGCTGTTTGCCAGCTGTTCCTCAGTTAGTTTTTTTTTTTGGGGGGGGAGACATTGAAAGATACACCGCCATGATTGTTGTCGTTTGTGCATGTGGTAGTAGTGGAGCGGCCCTTTTCCTATTGCTGCATCTGTTTCGTGGTGTGCAGAGTGAATCGTCCGCTAGAACATGGAAAGAATCATACACCGCAATGAGTTTTGTCGTTTGTGTGAGGCCCTGTGTGTTTAGGGGCGCACCGATACATTGTGTTGCGTTTTTTGTTTTTGTTTTTCTTTTGGCAGATTCGTTATTCTGTTTTCAATAGATTTTGTTTTTTTCGGGGGGGGGTTTGGATGCTTATGCCACATGTAGATTCGTTGGGGCACTTCACCACATGCATAAAGGCGAAAGATACGAGGTCGTATCTTTCCATGTTCTAGCCGAAAATCGGCTCACCCGCCCTCTCTCCGCTGCTCACCATGTTCTAGCCAAAAACCAGCTCACCTGGCCTCTCTCCGCTGCTCATGACATTCACAAAAGACAAAAAAAATACCGATGTATTTCCCCGTGGTTTGGGGGAAGATGCATTCTCATTTTGCACTTTTTGTGAGTGGTGGAGCGAGGCCCTCTGTTGAGTGCACCTCACCTGGAAGGAACAACTTTCTGTTTTTTTTTTTCGTTCTCTCAATTTTACCACTACTCCTAAGCCTATCCAGGGGACCCCTGCAAGCATAGCTACCACTACTCCTCAGCCTATCCAGGGGATGCATGCTCGGTCTTTGCGTTAACCGCCCTTGCCTCCTGCGGCCCCACCCAACTCCCTGGAAGAGACTTCCAGTTTGTTCTCATGCAGTGTGCGTGTGTGTGTGTGTGTGTGTGTGTGTGTGTGTTTTCCCCCTGCTCTTATACCCCGCCGCGGAGGCAGCGGGCATCCTCTTGTTATTATAATGTACTGAAGCAAACAAATGGTGCTCAGGCGGCTATCATCGACTTTCTTGTTGTGGTAGTGGTTTTTCTTCTTCACAAAACACCCCTCCCCTCCCCCCCCCCCCCCCCCCCCCCCCCCCCCCCCCCCCCCCCCCCCCCCTCTCTCTCTCTCACTTTTCTGTTGTCCCATCCTCCTTATGTGGCAGTGGTCAGGATGCAAGGCCTGTGTTAAAGTGCTTTTGCTGTGCAGATGGTTGATGACAGTGCGCAATGCTCATTTGTGACTGTCATGCTTGGAAGCTTGCACGTTTGCAGTACTATCAGGGCTAACAGGGGATGGCCTAACAAGCCTGGGGATTGCCTAACATAGCAAAGTGAGCAAAATCTTTGAATGAACAATCGATAGATGAAGAGCGACATACTGACACATGCGGAGGCGAAGTCCACGCATTTAGGCTTGTGCGTCACAGACGTACATTGGTGATTTTGGCCAAGGATAATCGCTATTAATCAGGGCTCCAATAACAAGGCACGTGTGTTTTTAAATTTCAAAGTAGCCGGTGCCAAATTAAGAAGAGTTTCCCAATGGTGGATAAGCGCGATCTGGGCCTTATTCCACTTTCCCTAAACTAAATGCTCTAACCTGGGTAATCCCCCTATTCTTCTTCCTCCGTTTTTTCATTTTTTTTTTGGGTTTCTTGGTTTTTGTTTTGGGGGGATCGAGTATTTGACGTGAAGTGACAGCGTTGGTGCAGCTGTTTTCTCTAACACGTCGAGGAATTTGTGGGATGTGGAGCCTCTCCAGTTATTATGGGGCGGGAGGGGAACTGAGTTGAAGATGCATGAAAGGACAGACTCAGCGATGGGATTGAGTATTTGCCCTGAAGTGACAGCGGCGGTGCAGCTGTTTTCTCTAACAAGTCGAGGAATTTGTGGGCTGTGGAGCCTCTCCAGTTATTATGGGGGGGGAGGGGAACTGAGTCGAAGATGCATAAAGTAGTGAAGTTTGTGGAGCACTAGCCTTAGAGCGTACTAGCACTAGGACCTTTTCTACGACGCTCTGGACATCATTGCGGTCAGATGCATCCAGGTCTGGCCGGAATTGCGGTCCGATCCATTTAGGAAAGCACTGGTAGTATGAGTATGCTCTTAGTAGGGGGATGTGAGGCTGGGTAAGTTGCATTCGTGTACATCTATTTTTATACTAGCCTGCAAGGCGTACGTGAAGTCTGCTCAGACCAATGTACATGTCTGCCATTGTGTGGGTTTTCTATTTTGTGTGTTTGTTTCGTAAACTGTTATTTATCTGGTCTTCTTGAACACAAATGTTGAGACGAAGGAGTGGGGGCAGTGCACGAAAGCTTTGGATTCCCAGCTAGGACATACTTACACTAGAACTTCTTTTACTTATTTCCGGATGTATCCGGCTGTAAATGCGGTCCGATACATTTATGACAGAGCTAGTGTAAGTACTATTATGATGGAGGAGTAAGAGTAAAGCATAGGAAGCATGAAGCTAGTGTAAGTACTATTATGATGGAGGAGTAAGAGTAAAGCATAGGAAGCATGAACAATGGCAACAGGCGAAGAGCTAGATTGATCTTTGCCTGAGCATCAGGAACGGAAGTGTCAGTCTCATACCTGAACCAATTTCCTTTGCGAGTTCAACATAGAGGTATTGGACCCTCTCATGTCCGAGGATTTCGCATGGCTTCCTCTCCCGACCACAGGCCGTTTGCCGGGACCGCAATGCGCAGCATTATGCGCTCATCTTCACACGTATCTATCCTTCTATGCACCACCAACTTCGCCGACGGAGGATGAAGCTGCGGTGGGGGACATCCTTGCGTATGTTACTAACACGGCCCGCGAGTTTCGCAAGCAGTGGTACGATGACAACAACGCACCGCTCCTCTATGTCCGCATCCATTGGGCAAGCGTCCTACAACGCTTTGCTGGATAGCGGAGCGTCTTGCAATTTCATGAGCCAAGCCTTTATGCAAAGGGCTTTTGGTGCACAAGTTCGGAGGAAGGCAAACCCGACGATGATCAAGTTGGCGGACGGAAGGACAACTTATGGATCGCTATGTCGAGGCCATACCGGTGTATTTCGCACCTCATGCATGCGAACCGGTGACGTTCGGCATTTTGGACACGGACTTTGACATTATTTTGGGAATGCCTTGGCTTGCAAGTGCGGATCACACGATCAACTTCCATCAGCGGACTCTTACCGTTCGGGACGCCTTCGGTGCCGAAGTGCCGTGTACAATTCCTGTTTCGCACCCTTCGATCCGGTGCCAAGTGGCGACGGCCAAGTCGTTCCGGGCTACTTGAGCTTACGACCAGCCCGGCGAGATAGGCCTATGCTTCCTACGGACCGTCGCGGTAGCCGACTCTTGCCCCACGGACTTGTCTTCGGACCCCCGTGTGGTGCGGTTGCTTGACGAGTTCATCGACAACTTATCGCCTTCAAATGGTTCTTCACGGGATTTGGCGAGCGAGTTCAACATAGAGGTATTGGACCCTCTCACGTTCGAGGATTTTGCATGGCTTCCTCTCCCGAACACGGGCCGTTTGCCGGGACCGCAATGCGCAGCATTATGCGCTCATCTTCACATGTATCTATCCTTCTATGCACCACCAACTTCATCGACGGAGGGCGAAGCTGCGGTGGGGGACATCCTTGTGTATGTTACCAAGGTGGCCCGCGAGTTTCGCAAGCAGTGGTACGATCACAACAATGCACCGCTCCTCTATGTCTGCATCCAAGTTGGGCAAGCGTCCTACAACGCTTTGCTGGATAGCGGCGCGTCTTACAATTTCATGAGCCAAGCCTCTATGCAAAGGGCTGGTCTTGGCGCACAAGTTCGGAGGAAGGCAAACTCAACGGCGATCAAGTTGGCGGACAGAAGGACGCAGCAACGTATCGATCGCTACGTCAAGGCCATACCGGTGTATTTCGCACCTCCTGCATGCGAACCGGTGACGTTCGACATTTTGGACACGGACTTCAACATTATTTTGGGAATGCCTTGGCTTGCAAGTGCGGATCACACGATCAACTTCCACCAGCGGACTCTTACCGTTCGGGACGCCTTCGGCGCCGAAGTGCCGTGTACAATTCCTGTCCCGCACCCTTCGATCCGGTGCCAAGTGGCGACGACCAAGTCGTTCCGGGCTACTTGCGCTTACGAGCAGCCCGACGAGATAGGCCTATGCTTCCTACGGACAGTCGTGGTAGCCGACTCTTGCCCCACGGACGTGTCTTCGGACCCCCGTGTGGTGCGGTTGCTTGACCAGTTCACCGACATCTTCGAGTCACCTACCGGTGTGGTGCCAGATCGGCTGATCTCTCATGAGATCATTCTTCAGGTCGGTGTCGTGCCGCCGAAAGGTTGCATTTACCGCATGGGCGAGGAGCTTACGGTCCTTCGCGCGCAACTTGATGACTTGTTGGACAAGGGTTGGATCCACCCTAGTAGCTCTCCATATGGAGCACCAGTTCTCTTCGTACAGAAGAAGAACGAGGATCTACGATTGTGCATCGACTATCGGAAACTCAACGCGCAAACTGTTAAGAATGTGGGGCCTCTTCCTCGTATTGACGATCTCCTTGAGCGATTGGGTGGCGCGAAGTAGTTTTCTAAGTTGGATTTGAAGTCGGGATATCATCAGATTTCGATCTGGCTGAACGATCGCTACGAATCCACGTTCAAGACTCGGTATGGGCATTTTGAGTGGGTGGTCATGCATTTTGGCCTCACCAATGCCCCGATGACCTTTCAAGCAGCAATGCCCAATGAGTTTCGTGCGATGTTGGACCGGTTTGTGCTGGTCTACTTAGACGACATTCTCGTTTATAGCCGGACATTGGAGGATAATCTTGACCACCTTCGATGAGTGTCGGGGACGCTCCGCCGCACCAAGTACAAAGCCAACCACGACAAGTGCGAATTTGTCCTACAAGAGCTGGAATACTTGGGCCATTGTGTCACACCGGAGGGCATCAGTCCGTTGTCGGACGTCATGGATGTCCGTTCGTTCCTTGGCCTTGTCGGCTACTACCAACGTTTTATCAAGGGATGCTCGAAAACTGCGGCCCACTTGATCAAGCTTCAATGCGAGGATCGGCCGTTTGACTTCGGAGAGGATGCGTGCTCTCAAAGCCGCGTTATTATCTGGGGAGGTCTTGCGCATATACGACCCGCTATCACCAACGCGCGTCACTATGGATGCGTCCAGCTATGGCATTGGTGTCGACTTCGAACAACACGATGGTGTGGACTGGCACCCGGTCGAGTACTTAGCAAGAAAGTGCCCGTCGTGCATTCCATTGATGATGCACGCAAGAAGGAGCTCCTAGCCTTTGTCCATGCGCTCAAGCGGTGGCAGCACTTCCTCCTTGGTCGAAGTCAATTTCGATGGGTAATGGACAACAATCCGTTGGTCTTCTACAAGACCCAAGACACCGTCAATAGCACCATCGCACGTTGGATGGCTTTCATCGACCAATTCGACTTCTTTCCCGATCGCATTCCTGGGAAGTCTAACCATTTTGCGGATGCTCTTTCACGGCGTCCGGATCATTGTACCAGTCTATTCGACCTTCGAGATCGACGACGATCTGCTGGACAGTTTCATCTGCAACTACCAAGCCGACCCCGAGTTTCGCGACAAGTATGCGAATTGCTGCTCTCCTAATCCGGCGCATTCTCACTACCGGATCCAAGAGGGGTGCTTGCTTGTCCACACACGGGGGAAGGAACTTTGCGTACCGAGTGACTCTCACTTGCGCACACGGCTTCTTGGCGAGTTCCACGATGCTCCCGCCATCGGACACTTTGGAGTCGATCACATGATTGGCCGACTTCGCGAGCGATTTTGGTTGCTCGGCCTTCTCGGAGACGTCACACGCTATTGCGAGTCATGCGAGGTTTGCCGCACTGCAAATCCTGCAGCCATCGTTCGTACGGCGAATTGCGACCATTATCGGTCCCCTTGCACTGAAGGGAAGCGATTGCCATGGACATTAGCGGGCCGTTCCCCAAGCACAAGCCCGGTGTGGATGGGATTCTCATGGTGGTCGATCGACTCACCAAGTTCGCCATGTTTTTGCCTTGCCGCTATCATGCCAAGGCACCGGAGTTGGCTGAGGTTCTTTACGGCGGTTGGATTTGAACCAAGGGTTAACCCAAGGAAATTGGTTGCCACCGCGACACTTGGTTCATGTTCGATTTTTGGTTGGCGCTCATCAAACGATGGGGCTCATCTCTCAAGCCAAGTTCGGCTCGCCACCCCAAACTTGTGGCCACACGGAGAGGGCGCATCACAGCGCACAGGTCCTCGTTCGCACTCTCATCCGTCTCGACCAAAAGGATTGGGTTGAGTGGCTGCCGGATTTCGAGTTGGCATACAACTCGTCCATCCACCTGGCTAGCGGAATGTCGCCCTTCGAGTTTGAGCACGGCTCGCCGGTCACTTCTCCATTGGACACAATCATTCCACGAGCGGTCGAGAGCGACGACCATCTTCGTTTCTTGCGTCGGATGCAAGAGCTACTTGTCAAGGCACGTGACCAGATCTCTAAGACGCAGCAACGCATGAGCCAACAGGCCAATCGCCAGCGTCTTCTGTGTCCATTCCGCGTCGGCGATCTCGTTTGGGTTTCCGCAGTGGAGTTCAGCCTCGAACAAGATATCTCTCGCAAGTTCCTCCCGAAATGGATGGGGCCCTAGCCGACCGTGGCACCCGCTGGGGATGCACCCGAAGGACCTTCCTTCATCATTCAGGTCCCCGCCCACTTGCCCGTCTACCCGGTCTTTCATTGCTCCAAGTTGGCTCTTTACACGCCAGCGGAACATGACGATTCTCCCGGGCGACGATCGCAAGACCCACCCTGTATGGACGGTTTTCAAGAGGTCGGCAACATCATCTCCCAGTGATCCCGTTGGTTGACCCGTGTGGAACTCCAAGCAACAGCTCCAGATGTTCTCGCACGCTACGAACGCAAGATGCAAGGGAAGCCGGTATCTTCGGCTCCACGTCTCACCTGCATCCAGGTTCCACCTTCAGATCGTCAGCTTCGCTCTCGACCCGGCTTGACTTCATAAGGAGGGGGGGGTGTTACATGCTGCACCTGCAACAGGCTGCACGGACCATTTTCAGGCCGGTGTCGTTTTCAGCCTGAAAGCCTGAAAACAAGGGCCTACAGGCCCTGTGTCGTTCAGCCTAAAACAGGGCCCTCCAGGCCCTGAGTGTTTTCAGCCTGAAACTGAGGGCCATTTTCAGGCCCTCATAAGATCGACCTGCCCTGAAACTTAGGCACCAGACCATGGTTTTAGCACAGGCCATTTTGGGCCTTTTTTCAAGACCACCTTTGTTTGAGCTTGAACGCCAGGGTCTGGCACGTTTTAGCATTGGCAAGAGCAGCCTCCTGGACGGGCCAGCACTATATAAGACTGGCCCACCCTGCAGGCTGCAGGTAGTTCATAGGGACTTCCCAGGCACTTCACGTGCAGTTCAGGAGGCAGGAGGTAGTCTTCACGATTCGGTAGCAGCACTCTGGAGGAGCGCTGCAGCATTAGTAGTAGCGTTAGCAGTAGTCTTCAGCGCTGGGCGCTAGAAGGAGCTAGAGTAGTACTGGAGAGAGATTGGGCGGAGGCCAGGGAGACTTACCTGCAGCGCCATAGCTCCAGCTTCGTCTTCAAGGTACCTGCAGCACGGCGCCATCTTCACAGGTTAGTGCCTGGCACATGAGAGAGAGAGAGAGAGAGAGAGAGAGTTCTTCTTCCTCCTCTTCTCAGTCCCACCATCTCCCCCTCACCCTCTCGCTACCTGACTTCACTGCATCAGCAGACTACGAGAGAGCGGGATTGGTGACATTTGGATCCAGACTCGACATTGGGCTTCAGACATTTGAAGAGGTATTATCTGGGACTTGTACCGAAGACTTGGCGTTGACGACATTCCCATCTTCCCCCTCTTCTTCATCTGATCTCCTCCTCTTCGTCTGTGTATGGTCTGGACTTGGCGCATTCTTCCTGTGTGTAGCGCCAGACCCCTTCACACCTTGTGATGAGGATGATGTATGTTTGGTCTGCATTGCGACATTGATTGGGTAGTCATTGGTGTTCTAGCATTCCGCTGCGCTGTCTTGTACTACGTGAGAGAGGTCAGTCCCGGTGAGGTCAGGGCTTATATCCAAGTCTTCCACTGCGCTACAAAGTGCCATTTTGTATGTATCAGGATGTACATTGCTTGTTGAGATCCACTAACATCGCATTGTCCATTCAGTCCTTTTTATCACATTGCGGATCCTTGACTATACATACATTGCCTAACTGGGCATGTAACATCTGGCTTTGGTGGCTGATCCTCCCTATCTCCCTCTTTCCCCCTTCGTCTCTTCTCCCTCTTTCTGAGTGATGATGTATGCTGTCAGGTTCTGTCATTGTCCATGATAAGAAAGAAAGGTATTGAAAAACACTCATAACAGCGCTCCCAATGAATTGCTCTCTTACTGACTCAATGTATGCTGGCGATGATTGTGCGCACTTCTTTGTGCTGCGTGTCCTTTTTGTATTTGTCCATGCGTTGCGGTCACAGTCAGAGGGAGACCTGGCAGAGGCGTTGCTTCAAGCTGCAGAAAAGGTGCAGAAGGCGGAGGCAGAAGCTGTAGCAGCAAGGGAAGCGGAAAAGCAAGCAAAGGTATAACTCAATCCAAGGCATATGACATATATGACAACACTGTGCGGCAGTTTATATTAGATCATTAAGCTACCGTGCACGCAGTGCTTTCGCAGTGACGGACTGTGTGGTTGCTCTCGGGATCCTGAGACAACTCGTACCTCCTCCCTCCATATGTGGTTTGCTTCCTCCTCCTCCCTCAATTTTTCACATCCTGTTTCCTTCAACAGAATTTTACTGACGTGAAGACGTCTGCTCAAAAGCTTTGCAGGACCGATCCATCAGTTAGGCATTTGGAGGGGTGGTGTCAAATATGAAGTTCACAGAATGATGTATAGAGCCGGTGGACGTAGTGCAATTGCACAAAGCACCGAGGACATACAGAAAGTCTGAATTCATCAAAGCACCAAGTACGGACAGCGAGTCCGCTCGCCGCAGCCCGTCTTCCGCTGAGCAACTAACTCGCAAGGAACGTTGTTATCAAACGTAAGGAACAGGAAAAATACGCATAATCTGCAAATATACACACTCACAAAAGATGGACAAGAACTTTCAAGAAGTTAAATACCAAAAGTCCATGGAGTTCCAGCGACCTGATGTGTACGTATACCATCTTTTGTGAGGACGCAGCACGACTGCAGAGGCAGCCGGTGTAACACCT